TTTAAATTAAGATTATGTATTCAACTCATGGAAAAGAACTAGCTTTCAGATATGAAAAAATGGCTTATACTTTTAGATGCAGTTTAGATCAGTTACATCATGGAAATCTGGCCAAAATTTGAGCCTAGAGACAGCTATTTAAAATAAAATTTTAAAAAGATTCACAGACATAACAGCATTGGATACCTTAACAGTCTATTATCTTCTGTCCACGTGCTCATTCTTTAATTTTTTGTGCACATTAGCCAATTTGTATAGTCAAAATGATATTTAGCTACAGTAAAAATCCAGTAAAATTATTAATTGGTTCAGAGTAAAGTATTTGGAAATGTGAGCCCTGGACTAAATAAGATTTGAGGCTGATAATCTAAATTGTCATAAACCACCCAGTGATATACAGTCCTATTCAGGGACCTACTGGCTTGCGGGAAAGCTGTCTGGGAACTAGAGCTCAAAAGTAACTAGTTTTGGGTATTAGTTACTGTATATGTAACTACTTATATTTGGGGTGGTAAGTAATATAACGAATAGTTCCAACATTAGATTTTGATGTAATTAGCAATTTTCTTGAGAAGACAATTCATGAAAGGCTGCAGGACAAACAGAGGGTTGCCATATTCCAATTCTCCAAACGTGAAATAAACATTTTGAGGCACTGTCCTAATAATATAAAGTAGCATCTCATGTTAATATAAGCACTATTAAGATATTCAGGCTGAAATCATGTAGAGGTGGTAGAGATGGGGGGTTGCAAATAAGCCCCAACCACTGTGTTCCCCATTTAGCAGGAAGAGTTCAAAAAGTCTCACTAAACCTTCTCCAGTTCTTGCTAAACCTTCTTTATGTGACTGCATTGATGAAGTCTTTAGCCCCTAACTTCAAACTGCTGCATTTATGGGAAATACTAAATAATAAGGCTTTTCATATTAATGCTTACAGTATAAATTTACAGGCTACCTTTTATGGAGAACCGCTTATGCTCTATAAGATTTGTCAAAACATTTAAAACAAATTGTAATAGCCTTTGTTATATCTCATTTTATATGCATAAACAAGTCACATTGAAACTATAAATGATGGAAAATGTAATCCACATAGCTCACAGTCACAAAATGGTTCTTCCCCATCATGTCAACAGAGCACTGTCTTTCAAAGGATTCCCCTTTTTGAAAGAGAAATGTCATTGTCAGATTATTCCAAGCTTAAACTAGTTGGTATTTTAACATGTTAGGTATTTCTGTGGTAATATTTAGAGATGGGGGTATTCGTATACAAATATCCCTGCACAGGTAGAAATAACAAGGGTCCGGCCCCATGGGGACAGACTGTCCACTTACGATTTCGCTGCTGCCATCGTCTCTGCGGAGGTTTCCTATCACACCGTTGTCTGCAATTGATTACCTACTCCTGGCAGGAGGCGGGATAACAAGCCTCTCTGCTAGGTCGGAGAGTGGCTAATCCATTGCAGAGAACAGCTCAATAGGAAGCCTCTGCGGAGCCAGAAGCAGTGGAAAAATCGTGAATGGACAGTCCAGCCCCATGGGGCTGGCCCCTCATTATTTCCACCTGTGCTGGGATACTCGTATACAAATGCCCCTATCTGTAGTAATAATCATGTTAGTGATCAATACTGAAAGGATACATTTCCTGTAAGCCACTGTTGAGCACACCTGGCCCTCCAGATGTGGAACTGCAACTACCATAGCTAGTGGTAAGAGATGACAGACGTTACAGCTAACAACATCTACTACATGTGTTGTCTGGTCCTGCCTTAATCAAAGCAATTTTTAGACCACGGGTTTTGAAATTATGATTGAAAACCATGGAGTTCCTCAGGGAGAAGGACTATAAATGGCTTTCTGAATACATAAACAGGTACAATGGGTGGTTATTGCAGTTTGAACAGAGCAACAGAGAGACCCAAAGATGAACTGAGTGCGGGTGAGCCATAGAACAAGCCCTGGCATCTTCTGGGTGATGCTGGGACTTTGTGACAATGGTAGATAAGTTCCTTGATGAGCTAATCAGTGCAGGGAGTCAACCTTCACAGTGAAAAAGCACTGACTTAGGTCCAGTTACATATTCTCATCAATACATACATCTTCCTACACTGAAATGATACAGGCTACCTTTTATGGAGAACCGCTCCATTGACAGGGGAAAGGAGCATGATTGCTTACAAAGTACGGTGTACTTTTTAAAAAAAGCCATGCATATCAGTTTTCTGAGCTATGCACTTCAAAAAAAACAACTACTGCATTTTAAGTCCATGTACAAAAAGTTTGTTATGAATGAACTGGAATTAAATTAGATGTGATCGTCCAGGATCCTGTTGGTCTTTGTTGGAGATCTGTGTAACTTGCTGTGGCTAATTGTGGATCATATATGAAGTGTCAATCATGTGCACTGCCATGCATAATCAAGATATGTCCCAGGATCTCCTCAATTAACTGTCACAACTTACACAAACACAAATAGCATTCCAACCTCTCATCATCATCATAGAACTGCAGAGTTGGAAGGGACCCTATGGATCATCAAGTCCAGCCCCTGTCAAGGAGACTCAATGGGGAATTGAACTCCCAGCCTCTAGTTCCACAGTTGGATTCCTAAACCCCTGAGCTATTCAGCAGTTCTGCTTTGCCAAATGCATCTGCTAGAGCAATTTACAAAATAGTAACAGTTACAATAAAGACAGAGAACACATCTGTTGGCATTACATTTCAGATATTCACCCAATTCTTTCAAGTGGCTCCACGCATACAGTTTGTATATACATAGGCTCTTTCTGTGCAGTTGGATCCTGCCATTTGCAGAGTCAGCCAGTAGGTATATAGGTTGAGCTCAAATGAGTAGCTAAAATCCTGTTAATTAGTATAGTAAGTTGCGCTAGAGTATGTCCCCTGAATCAGTGGGGATTTGGTGAGTCAACTCCTTTGTAAGCTCTGTAGATTCATTGGGGCTACTCTAGTGACACTTAATATGCTAAGCAACAGGATTTCACCCAATAAGAGCTCAGGTAGCGCGATCAGACATATGCCTGTTGCTTCTGTTCAGATTTGCCACAGATGCAGACATGAACAGAGTTGGATTTTTAATACATCGTTTTATGGCTGTCCAAGAAATACATTTTATAACACACTGTCTATCTGTGAGGTATAGTTTGGCCTACTTTTAAGTCTCCACTTGTTTTTGTAAACTGCAAAACTTCCAGATGATAATTGGTTAATGAGAGCTCTGTTGGAAGCCATTATATGTCATCATTTTCAAGTGGAACTGAACTTGGCATTTTGATTTTAGAAACAAATGTTTGAACCTCCCTATAGACGATGCTTCACAACTTACTGTCATATTGTATGATGACCCACAGTGCCAGACTCCTGTGGTGCAGTACTCTGTGTGCAAGACTCTCACGTGCCCAATACTCAATAAATGTGTTCAGTCTATTTTCTCAGGAAAGCCTCTTTTATCTTCATTTTTGGCATGGGAAATTTCATCTTGCTTTGCCATGTATATTTTGCAGTAGAGGTCTGTTCCAAAAGCTTTGTGGTGTTTTGTCAACTTTTTGCAAGACTAATGATGTGCTAAGTGAAAATAGCTACCTGGAAAACATACATTTCAAAACAGAGCTTAAGAGAAAATACTTTTGAGTCTGTAAGTTAAAAAATAGAAGATAAGATAGAATAAGTGTGAGGGAGGTCAAATGAGAATTCAGTATTTATTTTCAAAAAGGATTAATAGTCCAAGAAATAATTATTTAGAATGCTCTTTCTGAGCAACTTTGATTAGCAGTCTTAGAAAAGAAAACAACAACTTTCTCTTCAGCCATTTATATGATGTTTTTGGTTAAACATGGGGGAATTTGGAGAAGAAAAAATTACAAACATCTGAAAAAACAACAAAGCCCCCAAAAATAAATTTTAGCTATTTGTCTATTTCTGTGGTCTCTGGCCCCATACCCTGTTGCAGAGTTTTCAATTTTTGGTTAAATTCCTTTAGCTGAGCAGCAGAAATGCAGTGATTCACAGAGCAGAATAGTTTCAAGTTCCCCAGATTAGCCCACCCCTTTTTTTCTCATCAACTAGCACTTACACTCTCCTCTCAATACCTCATACTGAGACATTAATAGAAGAAAGAGTAAAAAGTTGAACAAATCAAACACAAACTGACAAACATGACTGCTTTCAGCAGCAGGCCTTCAACAAACTCCACACAGAGAAAAAGCCACAGAGCAGAGAGATGAGACTCTCTTTGAATTCAGAGGCAAGGAAGGAATGATTGGTTAGTCCTGGATAGATAGACAGTCACCTCAGCAAAGTCTCTCTTAGCCAAACAAACTATAGGCAGCATGAAGCTGTGAAAACTACAACAACTTTTACTTCTTTATATTTTTGAATAAGTAAAAAAAATTTGAATCTTTCAATACTACAAAAACAAGTGCTTGCTTCAGGTATCCTTAAGTGTTATTGTTTTTTCTGATATTTCCTCTTTCATTTTTCTTTTTGTAACTGTCCTTGAGTTTCTCTATAGCACCTTCTTCATCTTCTCAGATACAACAGCACATTAATGCTCAGCATTCTGGCTTTTTTTTTCTCAAGGCATATGCGGCTTAAGTGTATATGATCTCCTTTTTCCATACCTTGTTTTGATAAAAGAACAATTCAGACACTAAAATAATACTAAACCATTTTGTAATGTCACTAGCTATGTACATTCATAATGCTTCCTGAAGATAAAATGTGTCCTTCCCTTCAGAAGTAAAGGAGGAGGATATTAACTGTTTTCATTGATCTGAATTTTACATGCAGATTTACAAAGATGATAAATGCAATGTTACATAACCATAGTTGACAAAGTAGTGTTTTTATATTGTATACTTAGAATGGCATTGATATAATAATGGCAACACGACCCATTCAGATTTCTTATAGCTTCAGATATTTAATGTTCTATTTTTCCCCCAGTATTCTTACAATTTTTATACTTTTTCTGTTTTTCAGTTTTCTCCTTGTGTTTGGTTGCTTGATTTTGTCAGTATTTTCTACTATTCCCGACCATGTATGGCTTGCTAGTTACCTCTTCATTCTGGTAAGTGAATTTTATTGAGTCCTATTTCCCTTTCAGATTCATTGATATTAATGTAAACGATAAACTCACAAACATGCAGTCTGTGCAAAAGTGCAACCACCTTGATAGAGGAGCAGTTATCTATGAAGACACCTCCCCCCGAGTCAAACGATGTTTGGAATCTTTTCAGATTGATCCAGTTACAAAAAAGATTGAAACTCTTTCTCTTTAAAGTATACCTTTCTGAAGAAGGGCAAGTGTACATAACTTTAACCTACTGATGGGATAAGATGAATAAAAGCTTTGTTGTGAGCAGAAGCTTTAGCTATGCTGGAATATACTCATTCTAACCATGTTCCCAGAAAATCTGGCAGGTATACTGCTGGCTATGTATCCTGTTGCTGTTTTTGCGGTTCACATCCTACTTAGATGGATATTTTGTGTATTTCTTATATCTGGATTAATAAAGTGCATGTTGAGATCAAATGAGAGAATCCGAAATGGGCAGAACGTATCAATGAAAATACATTGATTATGCCATGTAGCATAATTGTTTCCACTTGTAGTATTTAGCACTATCATCATATGTAACAAAGAGACAAAGGAAACTGAAATCCTATTGCTTACCATAGTAAGGAGCACTCAGTAGGTCCACTGAACCATTGGGGATTTGATTTGCATAGATTGCTTATACTGAACATGACTTACCTTAAATCCAAGGCCATTACCAGAGAGGCATTTGTCATTGTTTGGTGCATTGCGGAGGGGGGGATCTGTTCACTCTTTTTTCTGGTTACCACACAATGAGTAGACCAATTTGCCCCCAGGGCACCCCAGCCACACCTTCTTTAGCCCCTATCAGGGGCTTTTGTTTGGGTGGGCGACTCTAATTTAGTCCATTCTCAGCACATGCAAACACTGGGAATGGATTGAAATCAAGTCCTGTCGCTGTCAAGTCTTGTAGTTGTCAAACTTGCCAAAACTTCTTCTGGATTGAATGTCCAGTGTTGTAAAGTGCTTAATAAACAAGCCACTTCAGGATATCAGCAGACTGAACACTTACCTGCTTCTCCACAGAACTGTACGGGATTGGAGGGGGGGGCATCTGCTAGAACAGAGGTCGTCAACCCCCAGTCCGTGGCCCATTGCTGGTCCGTGGCTTGAGCCCGACTGGGCCGTGAAGGCAGACCTCCCGCCCCCTCCACACACTCCCCTTCCCACAGCTACTTTGTGCGCACGTGTGTCAGCGGCGTGAGCGCTCCCTCACCCCTTCATGCAAGCCCATTTGTGCACAAAGCAGCCATGGGGAGTGTGTATGGGGGGAGGCGGGAGGTCTGCCTTTGTGGCCCGGCGGCGGTCCCTGTGTGCACAAAGCAGCTATGGGGAGTGCGTACGGGGGGAGGCAGGAGGTCTGCCTTTGCGGCCCGGCGGCAGCGGCAACAGGGCTGGGGAAGAGCCGAAAGGCAAGGTAAGGGCCGCGTGTTCTGGTCGCTCTCCCTCCTGGCAGCAGTGGCGGCAACGGGGGTGAGGGGGTGGCTGGAGAACAGCCGGGAGGGAGACCAAGGCCCCGGTGTTCTGGCAGCCCCCCTCCCGCCAACAGCGGCGGCAACAGGGGTGAGGGGTTGTCTGGAGAACAGCTGGGAGGGAGACCAAGGCCCCGGTGTTCTGGTGGCTCTCCCTCCCGGCAGTGGCAGCGGCAACAGGGGTGAGGGGGTGTCTGGAGAACAGCCGGGAGGGAGACCAAGGCCCCGGTGTTCTGGCGCCTCTCCCTCCCGGCAGTGGCAGCGGCAACAGGGGTGAGGGGGTGTCTGGAGAACAGCCGGGAGGGAGACCAAGGCCCCGGTGTTCTGGCGCCTCTCCCTCCCGGCAGTGGCAGCGGCAACAGGGGTGAGGGGGTGTCTGGAGAACAGCCGGGAGGGAGACCAAGGCCCCGGTGTTCTGGCGCCTCTCCCTCCCGGCAGTGGCAGCGGCAACAGGGGTGAGGGGGTGTCTGGAGAACAGCCGGGAGGGAGACCAAGGCCCCGGTGTTCTGGCGGCCCTCCCTCCCGGCAGTGGCAGCGGCAACAGGGGTGAGGGGGTGTCTGGAGAACAGCCGGGAGGGAGACCAAGGCCCCGGTGTTCTGGCGGCCCTCCCTCCCGGCAGTGGCAGCGGCAACAGGGGTGAGGGGGTGTCTGGAGAACAGCCGGGAGGGAGACCAAGGCCCCGGTGTTCTGGCGGCCCTCCCTCCCGGCAGTGGCAGCGGCAACAGGGGTGAGGGGGTGTCTGGAGAACAGCCGGGAGGGAGACCAAGGCCCCGGTGTTCTGGCGGCCCTCCCTCCCGGCAGTGGCAGCGGCAACAGGGGTGAGGGGGTGTCTGGAGAACAGCCGGGAGGGAGACCAAGGCCCCGGTGTTCTGGCGGCCCTCCCTCCCGGCAGTGGCAGCGGCAACAGGGGTGAGGGGGTGTCTGGAGAACAGCCGGGAGGGAGACCAAGGCCCCGGTGTTCTGGCGGCCCTCCCTCCCGGCAGTGGCAGCGGCAACAGGGGTGAGGGGGTGTCTGGAGAACAGCCGGGAGGGAGACCAAGGCCCCGGTGTTCTGGCGGCCCTCCCTCCCGGCAGTGGCAGCGGCAACAGGGGTGAGGGGGTGTCTGGAGAACAGCCGGGAGGGAGACCAAGGCCCCGGTGTTCTGGCGGCCCTCCCTCCCGGCAGTGGCAGCGGCAACAGGGGTGAGGGGGTGTCTGGAGAACAGCCGGGAGGGAGACCAAGGCCCCGGTGTTCTGGCGGCCCTCCCTCCCGGCAGTGGCAGCGGCAACAGGGGTGAGGGGGTGTCTGGAGAACAGCCGGGAGGGAGACCAAGGCCCCGGTGTTCTGGCGGCCCTCCCTCCCGGCAGTGGCAGCGGCAACAGGGGTGAGGGGGTGTCTGGAGAACAGCCGGGAGGGAGACCAAGGCCCCGGTGTTCTGGCGGCCCTCCCTCCCGGCAGTGGCAGCGGCAACAGGGGTGAGGGGGTGTCTGGAGAACAGCCGGGAGGGAGACCAAGGCCCCGGTGTTCTGGCGGCCCTCCCTCCCGGCAGTGGCAGCGGCAACAGGGGTGAGGGGGTGTCTGGAGAACAGCCGGGAGGGAGACCAAGGCCCCGGTGTTCTGGCGGCCCTCCCTCCCGGCAGTGGCAGCGGCAACAGGGGTGAGGGGGTGTCTGGAGAACAGCCGGGAGGGAGACCAAGGCCCCGGTGTTCTGGCGGCCCTCCCTCCCGGCAGTGGCAGCGGCAACAGGGGTGAGGGGGTGTCTGGAGAACAGCCGGGAGGGAGACCAAGGCCCCGGTGTTCTGGCGGCCCTCCCTCCCGGCAGTGGCAGCGGCAACAGGGGTGAGGGGGTGTCTGGAGAACAGCCGGGAGGGAGACCAAGGCCCCGGTGTTCTGGCGGCCCTCCCTCCCGGCAGTGGCAGCGGCAACAGGGGTGAGGGGGTGTCTGGAGAACAGCCGGGAGGGAGACCAAGGCCCCGGTGTTCTGGCGGCCCTCCCTCCCGGCAGTGGCAGCGGCAACAGGGGTGAGGGGGTGTCTGGAGAACAGCCGGGAGGGAGACCAAGGCCCCGGTGTTCTGGCGGCCCTCCCTCCCGGCAGTGGCAGCGGCAACAGGGGTGAGGGGGTGTCTGGAGAACAGCCGGGAGGGAGACCAAGGCCCCGGTGTTCTGGCGGCCCTCCCTCCCGGCAGTGGCAGCGGCAACAGGGGTGAGGGGGTGTCTGGAGAACAGCCGGGAGGGAGACCAAGGCCCCGGTGTTCTGGCGGCCCTCCCTCCCGGCAGTGGCAGCGGCAACAGGGGTGAGGGGGTGTCTGGAGAACAGCCGGGAGGGAGACCAAGGCCCCGGTGTTCTGGCGGCCCTCCCTCCCGGCAGTGGCAGCGGCAACAGGGGTGAGGGGGTGTCTGGAGAACAGCCGGGAGGGAGACCAAGGCCCCGGTGTTCTGGCGGCCCTCCCTCCCGGCAGTGGCAGCGGCAACAGGGGTGAGGGGGTGTCTGGAGAACAGCCGGGAGGGAGACCAAGGCCCCGGTGTTCTGGCGGCCCTCCCTCCCGGCAGTGGCAGCGGCAACAGGGGTGAGGGGGTGTCTGGAGAACAGCCGGGAGGGAGACCAAGGCCCCGGTGTTCTGGCGGCCCTCCCTCCCGGCAGTGGCAGCGGCAACAGGGGTGAGGGGGTGTCTGGAGAACAGCCGGGAGGGAGACCAAGGCCCCGGTGTTCTGGCGGCCCTCCCTCCCGGCAGTGGCAGCGGCAACAGGGGTGAGGGGGTGTCTGGAGAACAGCCGGGAGGGAGACCAAGGCCCCGGTGTTCTGGCGGCCCTCCCTCCCGGCAGTGGCAGCGGCAACAGGGGTGAGGGGGTGTCTGGAGAACAGCCGGGAGGGAGACCAAGGCCCCGGTGTTCTGGCGGCCCTCCCTCCCGGCAGTGGCAGCGGCAACAGGGGTGAGGGGGTGTCTGGAGAACAGCCGGGAGGGAGACCAAGGCCCCGGTGTTCTGGCGGCCCTCCCTCCCGGCAGTGGCAGCGGCAACAGGGGTGAGGGGGTGTCTGGAGAACAGCCGGGAGGGAGACCAAGGCCCCGGTGTTCTGGCGGCCCTCCCTCCCGGCAGTGGCAGCGGCAACAGGGGTGAGGGGGTGTCTGGAGAACAGCCGGGAGGGAGACCAAGGCCCCGGTGTTCTGGCGGCCCTCCCTCCCGGCAGTGGCAGCGGCAACAGGGGTGAGGGGGTGTCTGGAGAACAGCCGGGAGGGAGACCAAGGCCCCGGTGTTCTGGCGGCCCTCCCTCCCGGCAGTGGCAGCGGCAACAGGGGTGAGGGGGTGTCTGGAGAACAGCCGGGAGGGAGACCAAGGCCCCGGTGTTCTGGCGGCCCTCCCTCCCGGCAGTGGCAGCGGCAACAGGGGTGAGGGGGTGTCTGGAGAACAGCCGGGAGGGAGACCAAGGCCCCGGTGTTCTGGCGGCCCTCCCTCCCGGCAGTGGCAGCGGCAACAGGGGTGAGGGGGTGTCTGGAGAACAGCCGGGAGGGAGACCAAG